AAAAAAAAAAAAAAAAAAAAAAAAAAAAAAAAAAAAAAACATGCCTCTACTAAAAATACAAAGATTATCCGGGGGGTATGATGCACACCTGTAATCTCAACTCCTTGGAGGCTAAGGTATGAGAATCACTTGAACCTGGAAAACAGAGGTTGCAGTGAGCCGAGGTCGTGGCAATGCACTCCAGCTTGGGCAACAGAATGAGACTCCATTTCAAGCAAAACAAAACCAAAAACAAAACAAAATACAATAAAAAACAAAAGAGAAAGAAGTAACTGTATTACTCACAATACCTAAGGTATGGAATCAACCTAAGTGTATGTACATCAATAAGTGACTGGAGAAAGAAAATGTAATATGTGCACACAATAAAATGCTATTTAGCCCTTACAAGTAAGAAAGTCATTATTTCCAGCATTCATGAATCTGAAGGTATTATGCTAAGTAAAACAAGCCAGCACAGAAAAACACCTGCCTGTATCAAAATATGCCATATAAGGCATAAATATATACATATACTCTGTACCCACAAATACTAATACATTTCAATAAAAATTTCACCTATGGATTTTTTTTTTTTTTTTTGAGACACAGTCTTGCTCTGTCACCCAGGCTGTAGTTCAATGGCACGATCTCGGCTCATGGCATCCTCTGCCTCCCAAGTTCAAGCGGTTCCCTTGCCTCAGCCTCCTGAGTAGTTAGGACAATAGGTGCATGCCAACACGCCCAGCTAATTTGCTTTTATTTTAGTAGAGACGGCGTTTCACCATGTTGGCCATGATGGTCTCTAGCTCCTGACCTCATGATCTGCCCACCTCAGCCTCCCAAAGTGCTGTGATTACAGGTGTGAGCCACCACGCCTGGCCATTTACAAGGTCTTTTTGTTGGTGGTGGTGATGGTGAGGCTGACTCTCGCTCTATCACCCAGGCTGGACTGCAGTGGTGCAATCTTGGCTCACTGCAACCTCTGCCTATCGGGTTCAAGCAATTCTCGTGCCTCAATCTCCCTATTAGCTGGAATTACAGATGTGTGCAACCTCACCCAGCTAATTTTTGTATTTTTAGTAGAGATGGGGTTGCACCATATTGGCCAGGCTGGTCTTGAACTCCTGACCTCAAGTGATCTGCCTGCCTCAGCCTCCCAGTGTGCTGGGATTACAGGAGTGAGCCACCACACTCAGCAGGGAAGAATATTCTTCAACTCATTTATTTAAAGTCACTGGCAACATAATTACTAGAGACATTATGCCATTATGTACAAAATAGTATATTGCTATCATCTTGTACCTACAACCTTGAGTAAGGTGGGATAGGTTAAAGTTAGTGGTGTAATAATGCTTCATTAAACACACAAAATAGTCTTAACATGATAAACAAAATAGAGTTCACACATAATCTAACAATTTTTAATTGTACTTCATTTTATTACATAATAGTAAAATATGCTATTTTAATACTTTTAACTATAATTAATTTCTCTCTCTCTCATGTAGAAAAGTGTTATTCTGAACACCTACCTTATCCATCAATTAACATGAGTTAACTACAAACAGCCCCTTCACTTATATTTTCATTCTGCATCTTACATTTTAATATCCTTGCTCTTTTATAGAAAAGGTCATAAGTAATGCCCAATAAAAAAGAATCTCTAATATTTCTGATGCACAACAATTGATCACATGCTTTCACATGTGAATACAATAGGAATAAAATAACAGCATAATTTGAAAGCTGTATTACATCATTATTCAGCTTTCAAATTTTTGTTTTCAAGGAAACACATATACTTTCAATGTAATAACAATGCTTCAAAAAATCTTTTAGAGGTATACACAAATAATTTATCTAACAACTTTAGTTGTGGATTAGTTTCTATACTCAACACTCTGATTTAGTGTAATGTCTGAAGTGTCAGTGCCTTATTCTACTGTAAATTCTCTGATATTTACATAAAATCAATTTCGAATTAAATATTCTTTCATGTTAACTGCATCTGCAAAAACATATTTTAGTATAAACTCTGGTCTTTTCTAAGCTGTAGTTTTTCAAAAAACAGTGTTTCTAAATTCATTACATTTGCAGGACTCTTCACCAATATAAATTCCCTGATGTTGAACAAAACTTGAACATCTGCTTCAAGGTTTTCCTCTAGTACAAATTGTGTGCAATAAGATCTGTGATACAAGTCAAGGTACTATAACCACCTTTACATTCGTAATGATTGTCTACAGAATATTCTTCTTCACTTTAAAGGCTATTTCCTGAAAGATTTTTTGAAAGTAATTGTACTGTTAATGCTTTTATTAACTATGAACCTTTTTTTTTTTTTTTTTTTTGAGACGGAGTTTCACTCATGTTACCCAGACTGGAGTGCAATGGCGCGATCTCGGCTCACCGCAACCTCCGCCTCCTGGGTTCAGGCAATTCTCCTGCCTCAGCCTCCTGAGTAGCTGGGATTACAGGCACGCGCCACCATGCCCAGCTAATGTTTTTGTATTTTTAGTAGAGACGGGGTTTCACCATGTTGACCAGGATGGTCTCGATCTCTTGACCTCGTGATCCACCCGCCTCGGCCTCCCAAAGTGCTGGGATTACAGGCTTGAGCCACCGCGCCCGGCCTTGAACCTTTTTTTTTAACCAGTCATATTTTATTTGAGGTTAATTCCCATTAGGATATAAAAGGATTCAGCGATGATCAAGATTGTGTTCCTTAAGGAGGGGCTCGGGGCAAGATCATGGGGGGTAATGCAGACGTATCCTCTTCTTCAGTGGTACCTGTGTAACAGCTTGTGCTTCAGCTCCTTGTAGGAAAGGCAGTAGCTGAAGAGCACCTAGCCTGCCAGACTGTGGTAACCCCTGAGATGCTCCCTTTCTTTATGCTCATGT